GTAAAATATGCTATACATTAGTGAATCTGGATACTTCATAGCATTGATCAAATGTTTCAGAACTCGATCTTTATGTAATAGTGACTGAGGGAACAGCCATGTTCTCCTAACACTGTAACATTAGATGTGTGGGTTCAAACACCAAGAACTCTTTTACAGAATCTAAAATGTTATTTATCTTTTTTTTCGATTTTAACATCCCCATACTTCTGAACGATACAGAAGTATAGAAAACACAAGAGAGTCAAACAATGACATTTGTGCTTTTTGTATCAAGATTCACTCTGCTAACGACTTCTTAAAGATTGTAATACGCTTTGAGGGCTTAGTTGTTAAAAGACTAAACAACCTTTTGCATGTTATCCATTTAGTAAAATTTAACATCAATGTAATAAAATTAAACAACGCTATTTATCTCATCATTATTGCGCTACAATTAACGTATTTATCTTGTATAACTCATATAATATAAAAGACGTGCTCTTAATACCCATCTTTCTTTAAAGCTAAGATCACATAGATACATATCATAAAACTTGCATGGGATCAAAACTTCACTATCTTTAGATTTTACAAAGAGAATTATGGAATAAGTATCAATTAATAACACTTAATCAGATTCTAATTTAATTTATGTAACATAATAAATGAAGTATTTGCTGGGCTAAATGGTTTATTATGATGTGGCGAAGGTAAGTAAACAAACACACGCACAAACACGCGTGGTTGTTATTAACCACCCTGACCAACCCCGGCATAGTTTGATTACATCGCACAAAATTTTTAAAAAATGGTCCGATGTACCAGGGTTACACAAATAGTACTCTTAATGACATTGTACATGAACATAAAACGGTAGGAATTCTGCATTACAATTCATTTCAAAGTAAGTTGATAAACGGCATTTAAACGTGTAAGAATTCTATATCACCTTTTGTAGCGGTTGACTAAATTTTGACCTGTACAGAACAATGCGTCGAACTATAACTATCAATATTGTAATAGATATATTGTAAAATTTAATTACCTTTTATTGTCAATTCTTTATTGCATACTGTTTACAAAATGCTACGTTTGTTAATCTCATTAATGTAGGATTTGCTATCTGTAATACAGGTTAAACAAAAGTTCATCAACCAACTCGTGAACTTTAAAAAATAATACCTATGGTGGTTAGAAATAAAGAATTGAATTTATCTAGATTTAATAAAAGAAATTGTTTTCGTGTGAATATTTTCAGTGGTTTAATCAATTTAGTTTTGACAAAATTACAAATGGATTCATAACAAAGGTACGTTAAATTTCTATTTAAACTAATTAATTTAAAATGCCTTTTCAATACAATTATACAATGAGGCGTTTAAATGATATATTGTAAGCGTGGCAGTGTATTAAAGTCGCTCGGTGCTATTATCGTGTGCTTGCAATAATAAACACTTCAAACATTTAAACGCTATGTAAAACCAATCGTATATACATGTTGATATTTTTAAGACACATTGTGTCTTTGAAATCCATATTTTCTTAATTATTTTAGGAATGTCGAGCATGTGTTTAATGTGTTTAATAATGTTTTAATAATGAATTTAGAACATATTAGATGTAATTTGATGTTAAACAACTGGCGAATGTTGCGCTAAAGGTGCAGTAATGTATTATAAAGGTAGCCAATTGTAAACAAAGTGGTACTTTGTCTTCCGTACAAAATTCTCATTCACTATGAATATACCCATTGCCAACAGAGCAAGAGGGCATCTTTGTGGCAAATGAGTATTTGTTTTTGAAAACTGTAACAAGATGCCAAAAATAATTATGTTTTAGAAAAATAAAAATGATTGCATTTGAAAATAGGGCTTTTAGTTAAAGATCGTTATTACTTATAGAATATATAAAAACGGAATCCCTAAAGAACGCAAAAAAAACCCCGATAAAAATGGAAATGTCGCAGGCTCCGTATAATTGAGCCTGTTTTTGGACGGTACTGGAAATTGCAAGCTACCGTCCACGTCCACTAGAACTGACTTTAGCAGAATTACACATTTAAACTTGAAAATGATAAAACTTTGAATTTAGAAAAATTCGCAGATTTGTTTATATGGGGTTGTCATCGAATGTGATAAACTCAACGTACGTAGCTGAGAACGAATACTTAATAAATGGGTATATATACATATTGATTTTAATGATGTATTATTATGGATTGATTGCTTTTCGATATCAGAAAAAAAACAACAAAAAAACACACAACAACTTCACCTTAAAAAGTGAACTTGTCGGTCGGTCGGTGGTCGGTCAGTTTTTATAATGTGCGGAAAAAACGAAGTGTTTGAATATCTTAATTATCACATGTAGCGGGATTCAATACAAGTGAAATCAGGCTTTGGCTACCGGTCACCATTTTATCATTTAATATTTTTTCTTTAAATAAATTTGCAACATCATGATATATTATGCAATATAGTTTGAGTTTGGTAACAAGCTACATAATATTTTGCTACAGTTATGTTTCGAATTTGCCAGAAAACTAGGTATACGGGTGATTACACCTTTCTGTTACAACACCGTGCTACAGAAATATTTTATACATTTCAACAATAAATATAGACCAAGTATGATCAAAGAGGAATTTTCTTTATTTTTTATTTAGTTTACTGTTAAGTAGACAAAAGCGTAAAATAAATTTTGAAATAACGTACTTGAAAATATTATCTGGTTTAATACAATGTGAGTACATTAAAGAAGCACGCTAAATGCTCAGAACAAAAAATGGCAAGGGTTTTCAAAGTTTTATATTGTAACTGTTATATTTAGCTAAGGTTAATGACCGTAATAATGGAACATTTTACCTGTATATTTTCAGACAATATTTACAACTTATCTCTCTTTTCCTGACAGAAGTGTTCGTTAAACACACTTAACAACAAACTTAAGGCCTATCAAGAAGAATACACGTGGTAAAATCCGACTTAGTTTTTTTTTTCATTTTGTATTTTGTAGATTTCTTTCTATAGATATATGTGCGCACGTGTGTCTGTGTAGATTAATTTTATTTCCGAGCAAATCAGTCTGAAAAGTTAAAATTAGCCAAACATATTGTTTGATTTTATGATAAAACTTGAGCGTTATTTGTGAAAACACACTAATTCATTGAAATTCAAAAAGAAAGAAAACTATAGTTTTAAACGCTCTTCAGACGTAGAAAGATAATCGTGACTAATAGCGTATTTATATAAGGTAGCAATCTTGTATCCGAATTTTTAGAATGACTCTTGAAACAGGGTATTTTTAACAACAGAATTATTAAATTTATATTGCAATTAATATATCTATCAACTTGTGTATTTTGGACATGATATTAATAATAGTAAGTGGTGTATCGGTTTGAAAATCTATTGTACATGTAGATTGAAATTAAAATTTCTAGCAATCATACATACAATTCAACTTAAATTTTTCAATTCCTTCGCTAATTTGAAATTCAAATGTAGCTTGAAAGTCTATTTTTCGTTGCTTTCAATTAAATGCAAGTTTGACAGTTCATCACAATATTACAATTCTGGTATCTGAACATTGGTCAAACTAGCCCTTCGTCAAATCATCAGCAGAAGCGGTAGTGTCATCCATAGTACGCTCTTCAGTATCAGCATCATATCAACAAATATAGAATATAGAAACATAACCACTTGATATTCCTTCTGCTTATGTCATTGTTTTCATTAGGTATTATGAAATTGTTATAATTCGACAAGGTATGTAAATGGTTATAAAAACAACACTCAATATGTTATCATTATATTGATAAGATCACATCAATTACAGGATTTTTGATATTGAACAAGCTTTTATACGATTAATGGCTTGTATTGGGATACTTGTATGTGATTTTTGAGATGTTAGTTCACGTAAGGTTAATGTCCGTGTTAAATGACCTGAAGTAGAAGTAGACAATCTTTCTTCAATAAAGGCGATTCTGTTCTTATTTTAATAGAGGTTAATATATGATTTCCAATTCCATAAACAGCATTCCATCCCGTCTGGTACAAATCAGCTTAGTATGGTATTAAACAAGGCGTTGACCTTTTTCTATAGGCGTTTGCCTTTGTAGGAACTCTTCTGTAGCTTTCCGATATGTTTCTTGGTTTGATTGTCAAAGAATTTTGTTTTTGTTTTACCTTGAATGAATTTTACTCGCCTTAATATAATTGATATAGATATTGTTAATTTAATGAAGTACAGTACCAAATAAGAATATTTATATAATTGTTTCTTGCTGACGAAGTACCTGGCAACAATGCCAGTTATTCTTAACCTATTCTTACCTATCAATACGTCGTTATAATTGTTATAATGTATATGTATATCATAATAAATTTGTTAAAACCATATCCACACGATTCCTGAATTAAATATATACATAGGCCTGAAAAAATTGTCTTATTTACGATACTTCGAGATGGCATGATGCACTTGATGCTTTGAAAGCTGTGGAAATTAACTACATAGTAAAACCATATTTTGAATTTCAAGTTATTAGTTCATGAAATTATGTTTAGCTTCACAAGTTCTTTCACTCTCTGTGACACCAATATAAAATACCCTGTTTTAGATAGTTGATGAATACCGACGTTAACCAGTTTGGGTGGTTAAGCTATTTGACTTAAAACCACCTGTCCGTCACCGCACCGTCAGGGACTTTGGATTCTTTCATGTGATGAAGCTATCCAGCTAGCTTACGTAACATCAGTGGTTCTACTCATGTGTCAATTTATGCCTGAAATAATGTACAGAGGAGCACCTAAAGTATTCTCAAACAGTAAAGATGGAAAGTCCCCACATTACATTTACAGTGTTGGTGCGACTTTTAACACGACAAAAACATAACAACAGTTTGGCGCATATATTATATAGTTCCAGAACATTGCAGAACAGAGTTAGATAATTTAAAATGTTAATTAAGATAAGTTTTGTATAGTAATAAAACATTTTTATTATCATTTCAGTGATTCATGGACATAGAAAGTCAAGAACATGTGATGTTTAAAGCCTATATATAATATGTATAAGGTATGTACTAATAAGTTTGAGTTATTTGAACAGTATAGAAACATTTCCAGGTTTTGCTTGAATAAAGTACATGCCTGTCAAGTATAAATCTTGTGGAAGTTCTATTTAAATACATTTTGTCATATTATATAAAATACTTAAAATACTTATAATTAATTGAATGATAACAATTTAATCCTAAATACATTTGGACTTTTGTGGAGCTTTCCTATTGTTCTGTTGACAAGATAATGTTTGGAATATAGCCCTAGCCGATTTCACTTGTACTACAAGACAATTGTCATGTACACACATTTTAACAACCCAAATAACCCGTGCAATACAATTTGAACATGCTTTACTTCTGACATTGGCCGATTTGAAATACAATGATCATCAAAAAGGCAGATGTACGCTATGGGAATGTAAGCGTATTGAAACATTCACAGTGGGTGACCGGAGTTGAACACAATATGATAATATATAAAAAAAAATCATCTTCAAATAAGATCATTTGAATAGAGTTAATTGTCTAGACAGAATATAATTAACGATAAAGAACCTCTTCCGTCAATGTACTCCATTCAATCGATGATTGTTTGGCAGATCTGATTTTAAGGTATAGGATAAAATGTTAGTTCATAATGGATTCTCATAAGTCGAATATTGACTTATTAACACACAATTTACTTAATTTGACAGAAAATGATATAGACTGACGTTTTTGTATGTTTAAAAGTGTACTAATTCATGGTTGGATTATGTGAAGATTGGATATAAAAGGAGTATAATACTGTTTGTAACTTTTGTTTATGTAAGGTAAGCTTTTACCATAATCTGTGTACGTGTAAGCGTCTTTTATGTTAAAACGAAATAACGTGCAATAATTGAACAGTGACATTGGCTGTTTTGAATATAACATTAAATACATGTCCTTATTGAATGTAAGTATTGAAATTACGTGTGTGACTTAGTTTACTAGAATTTGTAAGGTAAGCTTTTACCATAATCTGTGTACGTGTATTTCGGCACAGTGAAGGATCGAACCACAGACCTCTCAATTATCAGGCATTCTCTTTACCGACTGTCCTATTGTGAATTAACGAAAACTGTCACATTAAGCTGGCGTGACTTTCAATCGATGACTTATATACTCCACATTAATTTTCGTAAACTACACGGACCAAACCGAAGTGGGATCGAATATTTAAATGATTCCTATAATGTATTCAAAATTGACAGGTCAATAAAATCAGACTATACTATGGTTTAATTAAGGTTAAATACCTAAATTATCTATACTGATATCTTCCTTTATGAACCTTTTTTTGGCAAGTAAGATATTTTTCAAAGTTGTATACACATACTAATATAACAGGTAAAATTGTATTGCTCAATACAATGTGCATAGTATTGCACTTAAAATTGAATGTTAGAGTACGATTGCAATTAATACTTAATTGACAAGTGCATTTAAGTATACATCAAGCATTGCAAAATTGGTTAATGTGTTAAGTCTTAGTAATATCTGCAATGTCTTTAGGATATATTTTATCGTAAGTGTCATTGGAAGACAAAGAAAGTTTGGTTGGTAGAGTTCGTTTAGTGACCGTGTATTGGGACAAATACACAAAGTGTTTTTCATCCGTCAGTTCATGACGATATATTACAAATTTTCGCTAAAGCGCACTGAGCTGTAAGATACACTTTAAATCTATGTTTGGTGCAAATTACATTATTATATAAACTACATTATCATATAAACATACAAATGTATACAATTATTTTGATTATTTTTTGTTGATCTGAAAAACACTGCCGGAATACAATTAATTTTTGAAATAGTTTGAACTTAGTTGATTGAAATGAATGAATGAATTAATTTAATTATTTCATATATTTATTTTCCTTAATCATAACACGAAATTTTCTTCGTTACTGTCGGAAATGTGAGATTATTCTGTCAGCTTACGCAATTATAGGAAGTTCCAATTCTACTAATTACATAACCATATGATGTTTAAACATGATTCACTTGACTAAGTAATATCAGCAATGTCCTTTCCTCATAACAAGAAATCTTTTAGGCATAGATTCTTTATAGCTTTCTTGTTTTACTAATTTTGTGTGTATAAATAACATATTATGCATATTTAATTTTTATTGGTAAAACTAAGTAACATTTTATTTATTTTATCTGTGTAGAGAATCAATTTGACCTTTAATGGCCTTGAACGTGACCCAGTGACCTAGATATGCATTTTAGAATATGACTAAGCAATGGTTCTTGTGTGAGCGGACATATAACTACAAACAATAAAACTTATATAGATCTAATGTAGCTCAAATTATTCAAATATTTTAAACTATTGCAGTCAGATCAGCCAAACTACAGTGAATGTTTTTGAATATATGTACCTTCTATTATAGTATGTAATGTTGTATCATTTCGCTAACGGCATAAACGTTTTAAAATCGTAATAGTGAAAACAATAAACTGAGTGTAGGTGAAACTGAAACGTCCTGCGGGACTTGAAATCTATTTTGTATTTTGTCATTTCATTCTATGGTGTAATAACTTTCTACTTATGCATTGAAACTTTGCCATGCAGTCAATATGTTGATGACAAATTGCTTCAATCACAAACGTAGGAACAGTAATCCAAAAGACAGAAATGAATGTCACAATTATTGATCATAACCATCCATGTCAAACACTTACTTGCCAGTATGTTTATAAATGTGTATATTCAAATAAAAGGCCGTAAATGAAAAATATCTGTGTACCCTTATATGAAATGTTTACGTGAAAGAAAGAATAAAAACAAAAACAAACAAACAAACATCATTTTCACACGTACTTGATAGGCATTATTATGCGTTCAGTTTACTGTAACTTTAACAACCAATAATATAAACAACTTATAAAAGCAGGTATTCCTGTTTAATTGCATTACAATGTGGAAAACCGAATACATGCTATTAATTTCACAAATATCATTTATTTTTCTAGATTACTTTAATTTCAGATAATCTTTATATTATGGATTAAGTAATATTCCTAAATAGATTTATGAAACATCGGACCATGCGTCGTTTTTTTCCATGGCAAAAATATACACATAATTAAACTGGTTCAGGCAAAATGAGATAATAACCTCCCCTACCCCACGCCGCCTATCTATAAACGATAATGACAAGACATTTCCTTCGTGCTTGTCATATCTTATTTTGTAAATGAAAATCAATATAATCCAGTGGTATCTTTATACGTTTTCTTTACTTAAATATGAAAATAAAATAAAGGAATATATAAAAACTTTAATATAAGATATAAATAAATGAAACAAATAAACGATAAACAGTCATTATGTCACGTTTATACCGAAGACGAAGACATACTTGACCTTTGTGAACTCAGTCTGAACTATTTGCCTTGGTATAACGACAAAAAATAAAACAAAAAACAAAGCGAACAAATTAAACGCTACATTTTGTTTATTTGTGTCTTTGTTTTCACAACGAAACCGTTGATGTATTGCTTTCTGTTTCCTGGGTAGACTAACATTAATTGTATTTGTAGTATGGAACATAATATCGTAATTTGAACCTTGCATGTCGTCGAATATTAAGCCACACATTTTATAGAGCTTACCATTCCGATGTAATTCAAGGTGAAACCGTGAAAATAGTTTGTCTCACTTTTCAATATTTTAAACAATTATTAGTTTTGCTAAGTGCGTTGGATTGTTTAATTGTTTGGATGTATGGTAAAAAATTCTTTATTTATTATGACCGTCAGAATTGTAATATTTCTTCAGAGGAGGTCGAACATTATTCTGAAGAAATTAAAATTGTTAAAGTTAAATTCTCACAGGTCTTGTTTAATATCAAATGTTGCACAGTGATTCATTTGTCAAATGAGAATTCAATTCATACAAAATGGGCAGCAAGCAAACTTTTACCACTATGAAATCGATTTCCCCACCTTGCGTTATTTCATACACTTGTGTTATATAGTATTTAATTCATAACATTTCATGATTATAAATAAACATGTATGTCTGTATGTATTTTAGTGAAGACAGGCATACAATGTTTATAAAACAGTAAGATTTGTATAAGAAAAGATAATTTAAAAGAATTTAAGACAAACTATCAATATTTCACAGTTAAATGCAAATAATTAGCAATAATACGCACTCAGTAAAAAGATTTAAAACGAAAATCATGTTGTCATTACCCAAGAAAACACAATAATCCACTAATTTCCACCATGGTTCAGTTTATTAATGATATATTCTGGCAAGACACAGTCTGTCAAAATTTAATGTAAACATCTCAAACAGGTTATGATGATGAAAATAATGATTATTATACTAATAAATATTACTCTGAATTAAATATACTACATTGTTGACCCTATTTAAAGATATAAAAAGTAATATATAAAATAATTACGCAGTGTATATTTCTAAGATATTACAAAAAGATAACACAGTAAACTCTTATCATCTGGACGTCGTTAGCGTACTTTGAGTATTCGGGTCATTACGCTGTATATGGTTCCCAACGAGTATTGCCCCGCCCACTTTGTCAGTGTATTTATCATCAAACGAAGGGTAGCGATATACGTTAGGATGCCCAGCATTGAAGAATAAAGTCTGTCATATTATCAATATTAACATATGTTCGAAGTTTCATGTATGGCGCTGTGACAATCCAAGGTGGTTTGATTTCTGCATAATATTTCGCGTTGCAGACAACATCTTGACACTGTATTTCCCTTACAATTTTAAGTTTGGAGTATATAAGGCTAAGGAGTGTCTGAAATTGTCAAAATCCTTTTTGCAGCATTTATTTCAAGTAATATCCTTGTGAGTCAACTCTATTGAAGTGTGAAAACTCAGAACGCTGAAAGTTAAAGCACATGATGTCACAAATGAATAGGGTTTCATATATCCAAGACACTGTAAGAAGTAAGTTTGGATACTAATGTTGTAAACTGGCTTAGGCAGTCA